TGAATTGTGTTGTGCACCAGTACTGAGTTCATGTGGCTTGTTTGGATGTGCCACTGTGGCACCCAAGTTATTAATAAATATTTTTAAACCTTTCCCTTTTCTTTCTGCTGCCATGTCTCCTCTCCTTGCTCCATCAGCTCCCCTGGTGCCTGCTGCCTCCCAACTTCTCACTCTGCTCTGCTGTCCTGACTCCTGACCTGCCCCCCTCCACCAGCCCTTCTCTCCCCCCTGTGCCCACTCCTCCATTAGCCCCACTCTGATCATATGAGCTACCCCTCCTTATCCCCTCTTCTAACACCTCCCTCTACACACCTGCCCTGCCTCTCTCCTCTGGTACTGGTTCCTTCCCTGCAGGTGTCTGCCCTTCTGCTTCACCCCAGAATCTCCTGGCACTTGCACCTTCTCTTACTCCTGCACCCTCCTGTTGCCTCCCCTCTCCTTCACTGCCCCTACCTCCTTTGCCCTCTTTTTCTCTGGTGTCCACCCCCTCACCACCCTCTGCCCCTGTTCCCCTCATGCCCCTGTGCCCTAACATATGTCTTGCTCCATCCCGGGCTTCCTCATGCCCACCCCTTCTTTCAAGCCTTCTCCCAGCACCTCTCCCTCCCCCGTCTAGCCCCCAATGCCCTTACCCTCTCCCCTTCCAGCATCACCCTGTCCCCCTCCCACTGACACCTCCCCTCCTGCCTTTTTCCTCATTGTCTGCACTGGGCCCCCTGCCATTTGTCTCTCCTCTGTCCTGTCCCTTTGGTGCCTTCCCCTCTCTTCCCCCTCTCCCTCCGCACAATCCCCTTCCTCTCCCAGCCCTTCCCCTCCCCCTACCTTCTGCCTTCCACTTTGTGGGGCTGGAGTCTGCGCTCTGTCCCTGGACTCCGAACCTACAACTCAGCCACATGGCGCAACGCAGCACCCAGCAGTTTTAAAATCTCGGGCCGTGACGTTATGTCATGCCCGGGCATCTCCCTGCCTACCGCTTTGAGCACACCGCACAGGGCAGGAGCAGCTGACAAGGGGGAGCTCAGTGAAGCTTGCACATGGCAGGGCCAGGCCGGGGCCGGGGGAGAGACGCTCTGGGACCGGGGTAGGAGGATGCGCAGGGGGGCCGGGGCTCACTCCAGTTCCAAATATTGGTGGAGCACAGGCACCACGAGCCCATACAACTCGCCACTCATGCCTCTGCTGGCTAGCCAGCTCTCTCACTTTCAGAGGGGGCGAGGGAGTGCCGGTTCCTCGCGGAACCCCTAGTTTTGCTTTTCAGAACCCCAGGGTTCCCTGGAGCACCAATTGGGAAACACTGGTGTAGGGTCTTCCACATATGATCTTCTTTAAGGACAAGGTTTACCTGCATCTTCATCTGAAATTGCTCCCAAAGGTGACTTCCACTTTCCACATCAACTGTCCAATTTATTTGCCAATATTTTTCCTTTGTTCATATGTGATATTGGATAGAAGAACGTTTGCATATGTTGGCTGTAAGAGATTTGCCATTTTACGTGAATAAACCAGTCACTTTCACTAAACCCTGCAACCCAGTTTGAACCTGACTACAAATGTCAAGTCTGGGACACCTGCCTGTGCAGTTGGCCTATGGTGGTGGTAGTTTGCCTTTGCTGTCTGCTTTGTACACTACAGTGTGAGAGATACTACAATGCTTCTGCATACTCATTTTGCAGCATAGACAGAGCAATGCATGGGTGACAGAACCAGAGCATACAAACACCAGTGCACGCAACTGTGTCTGTGACAGCCCCACGGACAGGAGGTGGCATCATTTACAACTCAGATTCTGGTCAAAAAATGACTTGACTCTAGTTGGGGTGGGCCTGAGCAGACCTCTTATTGATCATAGATGAGGTTTTAAATTGCACATGTTAAGAGATGCCCAAATCATACTATAAAATAGAAAGTCAGTCTGTAACCACTGAGAATGTATTAGAAATTGGTTCTTTGTGGGGATGTGAAAGTGTAACTGTGTGTGTGGTTAATCGTTGAGCCTGGGCTTATCAGTTAACCTTCACAGTTACACGCGGGCTTCTTGCACACACCGGCTCTCCGGGAGCTGGTGCATATGGGGAGCCAGTTTAAAAGCTAGCACCGCACATGTAACCCGTGTAACTGCTGAAATTTTCCACAGCTACATGTTTACTTGATTAAATGAATTTTGACATCCCTCGTTCTTTGTGGCTTTGTGTTCAAGTGTCCTGTTTTGATAAGACTATTTAACTCTGCCAATTTCTGATCACTGTTTTTTGCTATTCATAAAGATGTTTGGTTGTAATTGAATATGAATTAGTGCATTTTGTTAATAGTGTATTTTTGCCACTAGACGGTATCAGTGTCTGCAAATTGGTATAATCTTCAAGCTGCTTTTATTGGAATCCTTGGCTTCTGAAATTCCCGAGTTTCAACTGTGGGAGGCGAGGGGGAAGATATTGGATAACATAGACCAAACTGTAAATGGTTCTCTATTAAAGGACTGTATAAAGACTAAGAATTTCAATGGAGGTATTGCTTCATGGAGTCACGTTTTGAGTATTTTCTAAATATTAGAAACACTTAAGTTTGTATGTGACAAGTTGATGGTGACATAACATCCGTGTAAGAAGGAAGCCATGTGACTTTTTTCTGTCATTCTTGTTTTCAAATGCTTGCTTGAAACTATTTATAAACTGGCAAAGGTCGTAAAACTAAAATGCACAGTTAATATTTCTTACCTCCGAAGGGAAGAGAGGCTAGTGCTGTTGGTACTAGCTATGGAGTTTCATCTGCCATTTTGGCACTTTTTATTTTCATGGTAGGATGCAGTCAGATTTTTTTTCCCTGTCTGTTTTAGTTTTTATTATTACTTGATCAAGTTGGCAGTGGTAGTTTTCAGTTTCTGTGTTAACCAGCTGTGAAAGTGTTGCTTTTCTTGAATTGCCTCAGCATCTGAGGCATGCTGGCTCCTGTGGAGCCACCTGTCCCCCTGCCCTGCCCAGTTCCCACAGAGGCAGCAGAGCAGGGTGGGAGGAGCCCACTTCCTTGGAGCTGCCTATTTCTCCCCCAACACACACACGCAAGTAGCAGCACAGGGAGGCAGGAGAAAGCTGGTGCCAGGGAGCTGGCTTAAAAGCCATCCCCCACCCCCGCTCTGCTTTCTCTGATAGAAAGGCAGCAGCATGTGGGGAGGGGACCAGGCGGAGCCAGTAAATGCAGGAAGTGGCTTTCAAGTCAGCCACCCATGTGTATTGGCCCCCATGAAGCCGCGCCCCCTCTGCTGCTGCCTCTTGATCAGAGGCGGCAGGCAGGAGCTGATGCTCTCAGTGCCTGTGTCCACATTGAACCATGTCATCTGGCTGTTCAGATTTAGTATTAGCCATTGTGGCAGAGGATTTTTTTTAGTATTTCAGTTAGTGTCTATATTAAGGTTTTGACTCTTCTAGCATAGTTGTAATTTTTCTTTGGGGCTACTGTAGCCTCCAAATATCTGGTTTACCTTTGACATTAATTTTGTTTAAAATATCAATGAAGGAGTATACAGAGAGGTAGTTAGTAAGCTATAAACACTTAAGAGTTATTTTTAATCAAGTAAGCAAAAACATTGAATTCCAGCCTTTAAGAAGTAATCTGAGGAATTACTTGCATCCTCTGAATTTTGTCTTCTAATAAGTAAGGAAGGCTCTGTCCTGAATTGGACAACAAAATGTTGCTTTTTGCTAATTCATAAGGTTGGTGTGCTGTTTCATAGGTTTGATCATCCTGCACCTTAGAATGTTTTGTGTAGAGAGTATTGTTTCAACACTGTTATTTAATTTAGTTAGATAAATAAACGTTGAATTATTAGGCTTTTACCAGTAAATGTCAGTAAACATCAATTTCACTGTACACACAAAATGAGTATTTCTATTCATACAACAAAGTTACAGATAATCAAAGTAAGAAATGCTGCTTGATCACTTCAGTTTGATTTAAGGATATTTACTTTGTTTATTTTTATATGTGACGTTAGCAATTTGTAATTTAACAGTTATACAGCTTTAACTTTTTGGCAATTTGTAATTTAACAGTTATACAGTTTTAACTACATCTGCTGTCTGCTTTCGTGCAACTATGGAAACTTAAATAGATAACAAGTTTATAACTTGTATTTTTTGCAACTGTGAAAAAATGAAATAGATAAAAAGCCTGATATAGAAGTTTATTTTTAGAAGTTAAATTCTGCCAAGCTTGTACAGAACATATATTGAACCTTACTCTGTTTTCCCTTCATTCCATCAAGAAGGAAGGCTTGTCTATGTTTGTGAGATGCTTATTTTGCTTGAATAATAACCATTATTACATGCAGAGCTATTTGTAAATGTGTGTTTCTATTCTGCATGCAGAGCCAGCATTATTTTTCAGTGTGTGTTTCTCCCCCAGGATGTTTTTGAGATGCGCTTTGCTAAAATGCCTGATGAACCTGAGGAACCCATGATTCCAGCCTCCTCTCCAGTAGTGGTGCCACCCCCAACCAAAGTGGCCCCTCCATCGTCCAGTGACAGTAGCAGTGATAGCTCGTCTGATAGCGATAGCTCATCAGATGATTCTGAAGAAGAACGAGCTCAGCGACTAGCAGAACTCCAGGAACAGGTAATGTATTCTGGGGCTTAGGGTCTAGAGCAGGGGGAACCGGGAGTTAGGCATTCACTGACTTGGGTTACCTAGGGCAATTAGCTTCAGCTCCTTGCCTTAACTCATTTTACAGATGAATAAATTACCAGCTTCCCAAGGCTGCAAAGTACAATTGAAAAATGCACTGGCATCTGTTGTTAAAAGGGCTTAATGGACAAAGAACTAATAAATATTGTGATGTCTTTCAAAGCATTGGACTATGTTCTATTCAATACACATACAATGTTCAAAAAAATCACAGCAGAACAATATACCATTGCCTCAGATAGTACCATTTGAATTGAATGAATACAGTTTTGGGCTGGCTAAACATACTACTAATGTGTGGCATGTAGATTTACAAAATGGGGCCTTGCAGCTATCTCCTTTGATAGGGAGGTGCAGCTGAAAATATAGGGAGTGCTCTGTCTAAATAGTTGTAGCCTTACAGGCCCTCCTTCACCATTAAATCATTTAGTGTCTAACTGGTACTGAGGAAGTGGTCCATCTGTTCTTGGCTGAAAGGTGAGCAGAGCCGTAACAAATTATTTAGAGAGCTTTTCTACCCCCTGTCAAGTGGATCACTGTGCTTTAAAGTATAATGAAAAAAAATCAGTGTACAATAAAAAGCATGTAGAACTTACCCATTTAATATTCAAGGAGACTAAAGCAAATGAGAGTAGCCAAGCCAGAAAGGAGGAGAGAAGCATGATTATGGGAGAGGAGGTGATGCAGAGCGAAATTATCTTGATCTTTGTGTGTCTGCCTCTTAGCTTAAAGCAGTGCATGAACAGCTTGCTGCCCTGTCCCAGCCACAGCAGAACAAACCAAAGAAAAAGGAGAAAGACAAGAAAGAAAAGAAAAAAGAGAAGCACAAAAAGAAGGAAGAAGTAGAGGAGAGTAAGAAAAGTAAAACCAAGGAACCACCACTCAAGAAGGCCAAGAAAAATAATAGCAACAGCAGTAACTCAAGGTCAGCCTTGTCTCTGTCATATCTTGCAGTTTTTGTATTTTTTTTTCCGCACTGAGGAACAAGAGTTAGACAACTTTCTTGTATTCAGTGTTATTTCCAACAGTAACCCCTAGTTCAGGTCTACACTAAAAAGGAATGTGGAATCAAGATATACAACTCCAGCTATATTAATTATGTAGCTTGGAATCTATGTACCTTGTTTTGAGTTTCCGCATGTTCCTGTCAGCCTCCTTTACCACTAGACCCGGAAGCTCAGCTTAAGGTAGAATGCATAGCTGGAGTCGGCGTACCTTAAGATGAGCTTGGCAGCATCCCCACAGAGAAAGGCTGATGGGAAGAAACACTCCCATTAGCTTCCCTTACTCCTCGCAAGAGCAGGAGTACAAGCCACCCATGGAGGCGCCCTCTGAATTTGATTTAGCAAGTCTTAACTAGACTCACTAAATCGAACTCCAGCAGATCGATCGCAGCAGCAGTGATCTTCTGTTTAGTGAAGACATGGCCCTAGTGATTTAAGTGTAGTTATAACTCAATTTGCTGTTTCTAGTTTATGTAAGGGTCTTGGCACTAATAGTATCAGTTCCAGCAAGATGTGTTGGTGCAGTCCCCAAACTATTGTGCCTCAGGGTGACAAGACTTTTTCACTCATGTACCCCCTGGGCTTCTCTGCCTGGCTTGTGAGGCTGCCATTAGTATCTAGTATGAGACATCATCAAAAATTAATTTTGTTCATCTGTACATTGTCTGAGACACTGAATCCCAAATCCTGGAGTTTTCTAGATATCATCAACCTTCCCCCTACTGGGTGCTTGAGGGATAATAAGGGAAAAGATTATGAGCTAGATATTTACATTTGGGTAAGTGACAACTTAGAGAAGGTAAAATATCTTCATGTTTTTCAAAGGCATAACCCCCAACCAAAGAAAGGAAATATTTACAGTGTAACAAAACATATTGTAGGGGAAATGTAGTTTGCATATAAGCACACACTGCTTGCAATAAGCTTGATTAGGTTGGAAAATAGTCAGAGGTGAGCTCATTTCTCATTCCCTGTCTCCACCCCACATTAAGGACATTGAGGCTGGATAAAATATTATACAATGTTCAGTAGAGCTCAATTGTAAATCCTCCCCAAGGAACTAAATTGTCTGTGGCCTAACAGAGCTCTTCCTTCTCTAATATCAGTGGATAATCCTTTTGCTACATAAGCTATTCATTCTGTGCGCCATGAATCTGGCAGAAGTGTGAACTCTTCAATTAGACACATCCTTTTTATAACCACAAACCTAGTTTCTCAAAATCATTGGCACACTAATTATATTCTTAGAATAAAACCAGAACCCTAGTAAATGAAGTCTCTAACCGTCCATTAACTTATTCTGAGGACAGTTTTATTCATGCCTGCTGCTGCTTGCTTCTCCTCCTCTCCCACACACATTAGATAAGTTAGCATGTTAGAAATTGTAAGAGGGATCCCTATATTTAATGTTGAAAATGTGTGTCACCAAGAATTGCTTATCAGTTTCTGTTCTCTCTTCCCTTACCCACCCATTCCAATTGTAAGCTTAATAGCCTGCTGAAAATAAACATTTCTAATGAGTGTAATGTAATCAATGTTACATTTAAGACATTAATATCAAGCTGCTACTTTTGAAATTCCTCAACATTTTGGTTTTTCTATAATAATGTTTTATAATTATTCCTAAGTAGTAAGAAGGAGCCTGTGACAGTGAAGAACAGCAAACCCCCTCCTGTCTACGAATCTGAGGAGGAGGACAAGTGTAAGCCAATGTCTTATGAAGAGAAGAGACAGCTAAGCCTGGATATTAATAAACTCCCTGGTGAGAAACTGGGCCGAGTTGTCCATATCATCCAGTCAAGAGAACCCTCGCTTAAAAACTCCAATCCTGATGAAATTGAAATTGACTTTGAGACATTAAAGCCATCCACGTTACGGGAGTTGGAAAGATATGTAACATCGTGTTTACGGAAGAAGAGGAAACCTCAAGGTATCTTTCATCCTCAAAGCAGTTTACTTCACATTCCAGTGATGTAATGCAAATTTTGTGAGAGAGAGACACAGACAGACAGTGAGAGAGATGGTGCATGTACTGTGTTTATAGGTATCTATACCCTCATGCCAGGCTAGAGAGGAGCTCATTTCAAAGCTACTACTTTTCCATCAAAGGGTGAATTTGATTAACAGCACAACAGCATGTGTGTTAAATCTTACCACTGGATTCTAACCCAATGACTTGTGATTTAGGGCAAGTTTTATTTTAATATCCCTGTACTTTTGAGCTCTAATATAAATATTTTCTTCACTCCAAACAAGGGATACATCATACTGCCAGCTAAATGGTATACTACATACTATTTCAATCTCATGCAGACTTCTTGTAAAACTCTTTAGTTTTCTTTTTCTCTGGACTCGGTACTCTCACCTTCAGTGTGCCAACAAACAAACAAACCCCACCTCCTCTCGCTAAAAAAATGTTTTCATGCCGGACTGTGGAGCCATCATGTGAAACTGTTAGCACATGGATTGGCCTGGATTTTGGATTGTCCCAGGCATGACACTCACTACACTACATTCACAGTCCTGGATTCTTTTAATCGATTTTTTTGATCTGTAAAGAGTTTATTTCAGTTTTTAGTATAGGGTTAATGCTTAGAAAAGCATTTTATAATTGAAGGAAAGCTTCTTACAGAATCAAAAGCAACTGCACATGTAGAGGGAAGTTTAGAGGACTCTCCCATCACCCATTCCCATGCTTTTCTTTGCATTGATATATCTGAATAAAACTTTTAAGTTCGGAATTCAGCAAACTTAAAAGTGTGAAACTGCCCTATGTGCTGCTGGCCTAAGCATCACTTGTAAACTTATTTGGTGTTTTGAAAAGAAAAATAGCCTAGAGCTTGAAGTGTAAATGCCAGATGCTGCATATGCATGATGAGCCTTCTCTAGCATAGATGGCTTAAGGATTGGGTCATGTGTAGGATTGAGTATATGCAGTTTAGGACCCATTCATTTGGTCAGTAGCATTCCTTTAAAGAATTCATTAATTATGGGCCACTGTAGTTTAGTCAGTAAATAATGTGTGTGAGAACATTTTTAGCACACTTTCCTTCTGCCAGGATCTGATACATGCATGCAGGCTCGGGGGTGGGCAAAGCAAGCAGTTGCCCAGGAGCCCAAGGCTCTAGCAGCTACCACTGCTGCAGCGGCTCTGAGGGAGAGGGGGTATGAGCCTTGGTCTTGGAGGCGCTGACTACCCTCTGCCCCACCCCTCTTCTGGGGCACAGAGCCAGGCCCCCATAAACACCTTACCCTGGGGCTTTTGGCCCAGCTGCATGACTGTTTATAGGTTATTTATGCAACAGCTGTATTTGTTGCCTCATTAGGGAATTGGGAGCAGTAAGGCAAATTCTTCATTTCTGCCCTAGTTTGTAAAGCTCAGGGTTAGGAAAGAACATAGGAACAGAGCAGATAATTGCAGTAGCACTTTGCTTAGTTAAGCTACTCATGACCCCAGCTATAGAACATCGGCATACAAGCAGCCCACCATGCAATAGAATTCCTATTACGGTTGTTGTTGAATACAGGAGGACCATAGAGCACAAGACTGGATTCTGGGTTATTTCTGTCATCCTTTGACAATATTGTACTATTATCTTGTTGCAGCAGAGAAGGTGGATGTAATTGCTGGTTCCTCTAAAATGAAGGGGTTCTCCTCCTCAGAGTCTGAGAGCACCAGTGAATCCAGCTCCTCCGACAGTGAAGATTCAGAAACAGGTTAGATGCAGCTTATTTAAAGACTCAGTCCTATACCTGTTATCTGTATAAATAAATATGTTTTCAGTACTGGCTTGGTCTTTAATTTTTTTGTCTTTGTAATTACAATACATACAGTATAGATCCTTCATGTTGCAGTTTTCTGTATTGGACCCGACATGAAACATGGAGGTGGAGGAGGGGGTATTCTGACACTTCCCAAGCATTACAAGAGTTCATTGCTTTTCTTCTTTGAATTGGGAGAGCCAGCCTGTAACATGGCGAGATATTTTCTGTCTGACCAGTGATTTAATTACATATTTTAAAAAAGCCTCCTTCTCTTTTTTATTTGGCTCTTCGGGAGTGCAAGGGTTCTCACCAGAAACACTACTGCACCAGAGCATGCTGAGGAAATGTTGGTTTATGTTTAAAAAATAAAAACAATGGCACGGAAACCTCTCTCTTCGGGGAAATTAGGGTGAATTTAGTGGGCAATAATGATTGTGTATAGCTGTTTATCAGCTGATACGCCCTCAGAATTTGTGATTTAAGCATGTTAATTTGAGGATGTTTTTGCACTTCTGAAATAGCTTCTTTAAAGCTTAGTTCTTCCTATAAAGTGGCATTATGTCATTCATGTGTGTCAAAATGAGCAAAACAGCGTAGCTGAGATTTGAGCTATTCTTATTTGCCAGGTCTGTGAGAGTTCTGAAAGTTAAGAGAGATTGTTTTTGGAATATAAATCACCAGTAATTAAATTTCTGCAACTTGAATGTAATTAAATATCTCTGATGAAGATGCATGAAGTAGAAAAGAATTCTGCTTCCACTTCATTACTGAATTGGCTCTGAAGTGCAAACAGGTGTAAAAATTAATAAAAATGCACTTTCAAGAAATTCTGAGACTGAAGTAATATATTTTCAGGACTGCCACCGAGTTGAGAGGGGTCTAACAGCACAGGGTGCTGAATGTATGCTGTTCTAAAACTAAACAAGTCCTACGCGTATGCTAAATACCTCTTCTTTTCCTGTCCCCTCTGGTCAGAAGAGATTAGTATTTATTAGAGTTACTTTGGATGCTTAACTGATGACTCTTCCTACAAAATACTTCAATTTTAAAGATGTATTTTCTTTGAAAAATGAAATGCATTAAACTGTACTTAAAGTTTAAGTTTATTTAAGTTGCATTATATTGTCAAGCGCATCTTTAAATTAAGTTTTTTGAAAGGAACTCCTGACTTTTGATGAAAGTTGGTGAGACGGAATTCCATTTATTACTGTTAGCAAGTGTTGGCCCTAGAGTATGTTAACAAAGTAGATTATTAGAAAACAGTCTCCTGCTACTAGGTAAGCCTTGAGACAGAGCTGCTATATTTACACTCAAGATACAATTACAATAATTGTACAATTGTTGTATTTCAGTGACTGTACTTGACTAATGAAGACTTAGACCTGCCAAAGCTTCTTTGAAAAACTTGTTTAGAAATCAGTCTTTTTGTTCTTCCATGAGACTCTGGTCAGTCAGGTCTGAGACGTAGATATGAAAAAGGAGGGTTGTTCCAGTGATTTATTCCCCATGTGATGCTGTCGTCTGCAAAAGCATGGTTATGGAAACCTTGGCCTTGTCTACAAAGCCTTTATACTGGAATTTAGCTATGCTACTATAGTTAAATCAGTACAAAACCTGTGTGTACACAAACCCTAAGATGCCACAATATTGCAAAAACAGAAGATACATTTTCATATTTTTCTTTTTTCATAGCAAGTGTGTGAGATTCAGACAAAACAGCTTCTGAATCAAATGTTTCTCATGATTTTCATGAGGCTGAGGGAGTGGAACTTGATAAATTGGATTTGAAATAAAGCATCAGTTGCTCACTGTATTTGCCGCCTTGGGTTGTGCTAGGTTTAGAAAGCAGACCTCTTATGTTCTTCTTCTATAGAACATTCTGTCCTTAAGAATAATATGCTGACAGTTAATTTTTTATTTTAGTAAGCTGTCACTAGGCAGCTCTAACTAAAACTTTAGTTCTGTATAAGTTTAAGGAGTGTATGTTATGAAAATCTGGAGGATGACAATTCACTCAACTTTGCCACATGGCAGTCACATTAGTGCTTATAGTACATTCTGTGTACCATAACTGCACTTCCTTGGAGGAGTTCTAAATGTGACTTTTTTCTCATGTGTTCTCTCTTCTGTGAAACTATAAAAACTGACTGTAAAACTGCTCTTCCCATAAACTTATCCATACTTCATACTCTGAGTGTTTTCAAAACTGGGCTCTTAATTTCTCTTGCCTGTGAATTTGGTTTTCCATCTTGGACTCGATCATCACAATTGCTGAGCGTCCCAGCTCTTTACTTTGAATTAGCACCTCAGCTAGTAGATGTCCAACATCTCTGAAAGTTATAGCCAGGGTGTCCCAGTTTGGCTACTGGAAATCAGATGTTTTAGAAAAGGCTAGTATTGTGATTTAATGTGATCAGTAGAGCCATTGACAGTACTTTGTATAAGCTTGTATTATCTTTCACTTTGTTATAAAATGAATCATATAATATGTTTATAATTATCAGTTTAAACACTATTTTTAGAAGCCAGCAACCCTGCATGCAGTTGGTAATTTGCATCAAACTTACTTCCATATAATAAAGCTACCCTCACTTTTTTTTATAATAGTCTTTCAGTATAAACAGATGAATATACTTGATTTGGCAATACATGTATTTGGTTACCATTAATAGAAACAAACTCATTTTTTCTAGTCTAGAACATTTAGTGATATTCATTTTGCTAAATCTTTCTCTTGTTCTTCTGATTAAATATAGGGCCCTTCATTCCCGTGCTGCAGGGTAGTAACTTAATTATTAACATATAGAATTCTATTTCCTATAAATTGAAATAATTGTTTAAACATTTTAGAATTAAATATTTGACACCTAATGTAATTAATGTATTGTTAGGTCATTATACCCTTTCTTGTAACAGCCCCTGTTGCTGGCCATCCTTCAGGCTTCTGTCTCTAATGTTTAAAAGAGCAACATGATTCTAGAGAAGTTGCAAAACAAATATCCCAATAGAAAAATCTTGCAAATGTATACATACAAAGTGGAAAACTAGTTTTAAAATCTTCCAGATAATCTTTGCACATCAATGTGTAATAAGACCTGGCACCTTACGCTCTTTTCTAATTACTTTGTTTCTGTTTTTCCTTTTAAATACACTAAGCTGTTTGGTGGGAGTGTTTGGTGTTTTGTTCAATAGATATTGTATGTACTTTTAAATCAACCAGTAATCTTTATAATGTAATTGTACGTTATTTTATCTTGGTTTTGTTTCATAGCGCTCTTTGATACATGTAAAAATGTACTCCAGTTAACTGTCTAAGAAAGACTAAGCACACATTATGTAACCAGTTAAACTGAAATTACATTTCTGCTCCAACCTCCTGCAGTTTATTCTTCAGAGTCAAAAAAGACAAGCTTTACTGCACTAGTATAGTGGCCTCGTCCTTCTACTTGGCTCATTTCTGTAGTCCAGATTTCTGAAAAGCTACTCACATCCTGGGTTGACTTTGTCCTGCTCACTTTCATCCACCCATTGTTGCTAATCCTTAATCTGGAGTTTGACTGAATTTATAAAACATTCTTGTTAATAATCACGAGTGCTATACTTACATTGAAAATCAGACCTTGAAGATGTAATCTTTTGAAGATAGATGATAGGCAAAACAAATTAATGGGGCATTTTCTGCTGGAGATCGGACAGGTGAACATAACGGCCCTTTAGTTTTACAGTCTGTGAAAACAGACCTATAGGATTAAAGAATTGGGCAGTTTAATTTTAGTTGTGTTTTGACAGTATCGTTAGGTATTGAGACTGAAATTCATCCTGAAAACATCTGCTTCTGATTTAGACTAAACATGCCCATCAGTGAATAACTTTCTTGCCTCCTCAATGTCTATGCTAGTACCATGAAGTTTATAGTAGCTTCCATTGTCTCTTCCAATCATGTTTTTTTATCTTCAGCATAAGGAAAAGTTGCATGTAAGCAACATTTTTTCCCTCACAAATCAAATACAGTTTTGTAATCATATCTGTTCTTTTGATCTCAATACTTCAGCCATGAATTATCAGGCTGCAGTACACCATGGTGCATCTTTATGGCAGTGTGTGATTGTTGCTCACAGAACACAAAAGTCACAAATTGCCTTTAGAGGTGTAGTGCTAGCTTTTTCTGGCTTGAGTATCCTCTTACCTCTTTAGTGCAACAGAAGAGCATAGTTTTTTGTTTTCCCCCATGGTAGGAGGAATGTGGGAGGCAATACTTCTGGTGAACTTGGTCTTCATACTTCATAGCTATTGTTTCAAGTTTCATATTGTATAGTTCTAATGCTAGTAATATTGTGGTCTTTATATCTTCTCTAAAGATCTTGAGTATTATTTTGTGTTCATGTTTTAACTAGTGAACCCGAGATGTCTGCTAAAAATCCTCAAAGACAATTGAAATGTAGAAACCATTCTATTAAGATAGCTTCCATGGTAACAAACACTAAAGTTAAGGTTTTAACTTCACTTGTGTCAACTTTCTCATAAACTTTGCTTTTGTTTTGAAACTTCTATGTAGCTCAGCTCAGAGGTAAACTTTTGGGGTGAACATTTTGAGTTAACTCCAATTCAGCTGCGAGTTGTGTAAGAGAAAGGTACTTCTCCTGTGTCTGTAATGTGTTATGTATTCAGTCCCCTTTAAATTATAATCTGTTCCTAAATAGAATTGCCTGTTTCCTTATGAATCTGAGGGAAAAAATACTTCCCTCCTCAATAGTACTTCACCATTTGAATTTACTTGGCTTCTCTTTTGTCCACCTGATGCTTGACAATCATCTGAGTCTAGAATCATGTTCAACAGCCATGTCCTTCCCAACAAACTCCTTCACTTCAGTATCCTATAGTGATTGAAGAACTTAATAGACTGGGGTGGGGTGGGGTGGGGGGAATCTAAATTGGTGTGACTCGGTGCAAAA